GGTGTATGATGAGTGGTGTATGATGAGTGGTGTATGATGAGTGGTGTGTGATCAGTGGTGTGTGATGAGTGGTGTATGATGAGTGGTGTATGATGAGTGGTGTGTGATCAGTGGTGTGTGATGAGTGGTGTATGATGAGTGGTGTATGATGAGTGGTGTGTGATCAGTGGTGTGTGATGAGTGGTGTATGATGAGTGGTGTATGATGAGTGGTGTATGATGAGTGGTGTGTGATGAGTGGTGTATGATGAGTGGTGTATGATGAGTGGTGGTTGAACAGCTGTTGAATGTCCGTAACACGGAAGTTTTGCACACTAAACTTCCTTTGAATATATAGCAAATGAAACTATTCCTGACAGCGGGGCTTAGGGGTCTTCAGCCATAGTAAAGATTTCGGAGCAAGTTCCGGAGCAAGATCCGGAGCATGTTCAAGAGCAGGTTCAGGGAGCAGGTTCCGGAACAATTTCCGAAGCAGGTTCACGGAGCAGGTTGTGGAACAATTTCCGGAGCAGGGCAGGTTCCAGAGCAAGTCCCAGAGAAAGGGCGTTGTGTAGCAAAGAAACAAAACACTTGTGGGTGACTTGTGCTAGTGCCATTGCCCACTATTGTAGGCAGGTTCATGTCGCAATGCCGACATTTTTTGAGCTTATGTTTTTGTTTTTTTAGACTGCAGGAGCTGCAGCTCCTTGGCAGTCAGCCAGTGGATGACTTGAAGGTAAGTATCCAAATCGCCTCTACGGAGGAGGACTGCGGCATTCGGCATTCGTTGACTGCTTACCTTTGTTGCATTTCCTTTCGACCTGCAATGTTGCACACACAATTGCCCAGTTGGCAACATTCTGTTGCCCACTGCCTACTTCTAGCGTGCCTTACTTCCTGGCTATGCTGCCGTGACTTACCACTGCTACTCTAGGCTTTCTAGCCCCTATATATAGATGTTTTGTTTTAAGCATATCTGGTTTCCCCACATGTCAGGGGAAGGGGTTCCTCCTGATAACTTGAGGAGGCACCAGAAGGAGACTCCACCGAGCTGATCATCATTGTGGCAGTCGGGAGACCAACCGCCAAAGGGACTCATTCGGGTTCATTAGGGCATTAGGGGCTGAGGTGACCAAGTGCAAGCAGACAAGGGGAACTATATAGTGACACGCAGTGAGCTAAGGCCGTTGCGGCCTGTTTGGTGATGTTTGGCGCTATTTTGTGGAAAGTTTGCAGCAGCTTCTCGGTCTCACTTTGGTGTTTTGGTGCATGCCTACGACCTACAAAAACTGGGTGTGCCATGGTGTGCCAAGTTCCGAAGGTCAATGTTTTAGCCTAAGTATGCGTAACACAGCGAAACAATAAATTATGTTGCTCTTTGCCGTCGCTTTTGGAAACGCTCCATGCACACTGTTGGAAACTGCGCTGAACGCACAAGCACACACGAGCAGCTCAACCCAAAGGCAACTCCCGAGAGTCGGATGAGTTGCTCCACAAGAAGGCCACAGAGTCACGCATATTGGCTTCGGTTCATGGCTAAAGTAAAACAGCCATTACCATTGACAACATTATCCGAGCCTGAACCTTTAAATTTGATAGTTCTGGTGCGAAGATGACGATTTGTTGCACCATGTTGCCATATGTTGCCATTGAGAATTGGAAGTTGCGAGGAGGAGGGCGGACTGGAAGAAGAGTCGATCCCTTCGCTTGGACGAAATGCTCAAGGCAATTCACTCGAGGCGACATACTTGGGCGCAGGCTGGGATTTGTCAATTCATGTGAGGACATGTGAGGACTGATCTCAAACGATGACCTTGGAAGGCTCGTGTAATGCAGATCCAGGCAGGGGAAACTCATGTAAATAATGAAATGAAGTTTTGGTGGCAAGACGTCCTTGCGTTCATTGGCGATGATCAGACCCAACTAAGGTTTCCGCCCTGCATCCAAGATGCATTTCGAAGTGTGATGTGTGTTTGCATGTTGAACGAGAAATGGAAGCATGCATATTAATACTCAACATTCTCATTCTCGAAGCGCTGTTTTGACCTTTGCCAATCCACTTGGTTCCTAGATGTCTAAGAATGTGGCCGGCAAATGTTCACTGCTCACGGGTCCGAGGCCATGGCTTCAGCCGAAGACACTACTACAGTGCCACCAGAGCGTGAATTCTCCGATCCACCGCTGCCACCACCTGCAGAGTCTCCTCCAACCCACAGCCTGTGGAGTGAGGCACGAGCATGCATGGACTGCCAGCCGAGTCCATGTGGGCACCCAGTAGCAGATATATAAGCGGAACGTTTTGGCATAGATGGCCTCCTTTGTCGACCATATACAAAAATGCTTGAGGGGTTGGGCCTACAGGCACCTTTTTGTTGTTGCATTGCATTGGTTCGGTGCTCAATGCTTTCCACCACTTCACTGACTTTTCCTGCCATTTACTTGCGCAACGCCTGCCATGAGAAAAACACAGAAAGACAGGAATTGATGGTTTGGAAGAAAGCGCGATGGTTTGGTTTGAGCGTAGTCGCTTCTTGGTTGGGTTGGGCCAGCGACTACGCTCCTTGGTCGGCGCAGGTGCAGGACCAAAACTCCTCTGCCGTTCAACTTGCTGATGTTCATGCAGAGGTGGCTGCTAAAAGGCCTGATTGTTTAAATGTGTCGCTTGTCATGTTTAATATAGTCTATATATGACGACCAGAGGTCGGTAACCAACCAACTTAGAGGATTACTGTAGTTGGGCTAGCTTTCCTGTTTTGCTCCATGGCATTCCATGGCAACATTGCATTAGCTTTCTCAGGCCAGCTTCGTCATCTGATTGGACGTTGGTTGATCACCAGCTAAATCCCAGAGTGTGCCAAGCGTTGAGCTGCGGCTGGACGGGCAACTTGATTTGGACAGAGCTTCCGAACATCGAGCAGACCATGCGGCTGCCCACGAACAAGGACACCACGGCTGCATTGCTGGTGGAGTTGTTGCGGTAGACGAGTCTAAAGAATGATACCTTCCGATATCGCTGATGACGGTATCGCTGCATGTGTTTTGATGTGCTTTGCTGTTGCATGTGTGCATGCACAGACGCATCTTTTTTGGCAGTTCGGATTCAAGGTCACACGCAAGGTCAAGCGACGGAAGGGGAGATGAGTAAAGCCAAAGCCCCTTCTTGGCTTCCGTTTGTGCAGTAATGTGCAGCCCAATGAATCGCTGAGAGCCTGCCGGTAGGAGTACAGATTGACCTTTCAAAGAGGAGGTAGGTTAGTGCCCTGGCAGCAGAGGCTTGATTCTACATTGGAACCATGTGTCATTTGCTATTGTCCTATCATGTTCTCACATCTTGCTTCAGGTCGGGCATTCCTCTGATGGATCAAATGAGTACAAAATCACTGCTGGCAAGCACAAAGAGTCTGGTGAAGTCTCATGGCGCACAGGGCTCAGAGAGAAACCAGCTGTGACACGAAACGACAGCTCAAAGAGTCCCAGCGCTTGCTGAGGAGAAGTGCCTCAATCCGCTGTTGCTATGGCCATGGACCCTTAGGCTTGCACAAGCCAAGTTTGCGTAGTTTGCCGTGCAGAGATGCTCCTTGACTTCGATTTCAATCTAAGGAATGTCAAGGGCGTGTGCGTATGCGTGAGTCGCGTGGGTCCAGAGCACAGTGCAATGTCTTCGAGATTGCTTCTCGGCTTATTTGGAACAGCTGCTTCAAGGAATGCATTGTGGCCATATCCCGTGGTTGCTGGCAGGTTGGAGTGTTCACTGCCGTGTCCACCTCAATATCTGCTAGACATCTTGGAAGCGGTCGTGAGGAGCTGAGGAAAGAGAGAAAGCAGCCATTTCATTCAATAAACACAGTAACTACTAACGGGAGAGGGAGAGATAGAGGTGAACTACTCCAGATTTCAATAGTTGTGTGTTGTGCGCGAGTGTGGATTTCACCAGTGTCGCCTTGGAACTGGTGCCAACAACTGAGGCTTTAAGCTGACCACCAGTGCTGCTATTCAACCAACAGCCTTGGGAAATTCTGTGGACTATGTGTAAGAACAAGCAGGACAACTTAGTTTTACTCCCAGTAGCTCAAGCTAGAGTGTTTACAGTCTAGAGTATCCGACTGCAGACAGTGGTTTGACACTGACTGCTTGTACAGTAGGTTGCACAGGCGGATAGCTACGGAAAGAAGGTTTGGACGAGAACCTTGTTTATTGCAGCCCCTTCTCCCAGCAATAGCAGCTGCTTTAGCTGCAGGGTGAAGCTTGCGCCGCAATCCAGCCTAGCACCGTGCACAGATTGGGCACGGAGGTGTCACAAAGCTGCACCAGTGATTCGCAGTAGTTTCTCTCACCAGCTTCCGGTCTCCGAAAAGATCGAAAAGTCGCGAAAATGCTGGCCATACATCGTGACATAGGTATGGTTTCAGACTCTCTGTGTGTGATTTCCTGCAGACTTGGGAGCCAAACGGCAGATGAGGACTTTCAAGAGTTTGAGCACAGTTGCTGCCTTTACGTGAGCAACATTGAGTTTGAGTTGTTTGTGAGGATTGCAGGTCCGTTGAAACTCCCTCTCCTGCCGTCTTACTCCAAGAAGTGTGGGTCTTGCCAATTGAGTGGCTAGGCGTTCTTTGGTGTCAGGCTACTTCTGCTGGCATGCGTACCTCAACTTATGCTTCTACCACTGATAGGCCGCGGATTCTTGAATTAAATTATTAGCTTCTTGTTACTACTAGTAAGGCACCTGTTACTACTAGCGTGGCACTTGTTCCTATTAGCTTCTTGTTACTAAGCTTCATTCACCAAAGCTCAGCATGTCATTGCACTGAGCATGCTGTGCACGCAGCTCCCTCACCGATCACAGGACTCGACGCCCCCAGAGTGCATACTCCGGACTCCTCGCAGGGAGCCCCCAAAAAGGACTGCTGAATCCATGTGCCACTTTTGAGAAGTATTGACCCAGTTCGTGAGGCATATAATGTACTGCATAGGGTCTCCTTTTGCTCTGCATTAATTTCTTTGGAGGCCCCCCCAATCTCAGACCACTCACAATCACTCATCACTCACAGTAAATTCATGAAATGATCGTTAAACCATGTTAAACCTAATGACCTAATCAGTTTGGCTCAGCGTTCCAAACCTGACGACAGCAACTTGGAGGGGGCAGTTCCTTTCCTGTGGTGGTGAGCTTGGTACTTCTGACCTGGAAAGACTACGGCACTGAGGCTAGCCAGGCTGTGATAGGGTTCCTGACTCACGCTGAGACGTCAGGGGTGCGCCCACAGAGCCATCGGAATATGTGGTGATCAGAACACGGGTTTGCTGAATTCCTTTTGTTCCGCTTTTCCATTTGCTTTTTTCCGTCTTCGTTTCGCTTTACTTAGACCTTAGCCTTAGACCTTTCTTTCTTCCTTTGTTTGAAGCTTGATGGTTTTGTTTCTCTGTTGACCCGGACAAAGCTGCCGGTCACCTCAGCAGGATTGTGTGGGATGCAATCGTTTCAAGACCTTTGCTAGGCAGCAGAGGCTCAAGCCTGATGGGGTAGCCTCGGGTAGCGGGTGCACGCATCTCCGGATGCACGGGCGTGTCGGCCTTCTAATACAGCGTGTTTCTACACTGGCCAACCTCCGACCTTGACCTCCAAGGCCGACACTGATATCAAGTTCATGCCACATTCCAGGACTTGAATGTCCAAAGCTCTGTTCTCCATGTTGCAAGATTGGAAGGTTCATGAGAGCATGCCTTTGGACCCCTCGATCCGCGAGGTGCGAGCAGAGCATTGAAGGAGACACATGAGCAAGGGCTAAAACATTGTATGAAGAGTTTCTAGGTGAACCGCCATTTATACTTTGTAAAACTCTGTAAACACTGTGTGTAGCGATCGGGAACCCTGAAAAGCGATACCTGTTCCAGGAGTGCCATCTCATCTCCCAATGATATTTTGACATATGATTTGGAAACGCGTGGTTTCTAGACCAATACCAAAACCGATACCAAACGATACGATACCGGTTACGATACCTGGTACCTGGAGCGATGAGTGATACCTCAGAAGTCGCCACCTCCCCATGTGCAGAGCCACACTCACTGACGCTACTGGCATTTTCCTCATGCCACATAGCAAATAACCGGTCGAAGGCCTTTGTAAGGTTTATCCGGGTTGAGAGAGATTTGTAGGTTTCCTGTTTTTTGATTGGGACTGTGTGGGGCGATACCATGGCAGCAGAACCACTAATTAGCAGAATGACTTGATGTTGACGCAGAAGCCCTCAGCGATGAAAGGCCTTGCTGTCGCCACTGGGTGCAAGACCAATGAGCATGCAACATGGCGGCATGTTTGTGTGGCAAGCATTTGTCAAGGTTGCCTTTAGCGATTTAAAATTACTTAAACATGCAGTGTCATGCAGCCAGTGGCTTGATGCGACAGCGGCATTTGCCAATATTGCTTGTTAAGAGAGCTCTAGGCGGGGTACCAGCACTTTGATGACACTGGCAATGGGACCGCAGGAACAAAGGCAAGGGGAGGAAGGTAGCGAGCCAGCGGTTTTTGGTATGTGTCGCTTTGATTGAACTCGTGCTCTTGTTTGGGATGCCTCGAAAAGCAGCCACTAATTAGCTTTGTGGAGCCTCACTGGCGGCCACTACAAGAATGCTGAACTCGACTGCTGGTGTTTTTCTTCTTCTTTCCATTCCACACACTTTTTCGGCTCAAGATTGATTCCAGAGAATGTATTGCTGGGATGTTGATTTGGACTTAGACGAAGAATCGGACTGTGATGAAATAGAATTTCATGGAGCGGTGCCAGCAGCACCACCTTTTGCACTCCTGGATGCAGCACACGCCGACTTAACGGTGGCAATGGTGACAAAGTTTTTCTCTGCGAAAGATGTTGGCCGCATCCATCATCTTGCGCACCGTTCAGATGTGAAAACTATCGACGACCGATGTGCAGATTTGGTCTACAAGCACGAGGTTTGGAGGATTGAATGGCAACTCAAGGAGGCATGTTTGGATCTATATGACCGTCTAATGAATGCAGCCTGGGCGTTGGACGTGAGGCTTTGGCAAGGCATCCGTAGTCAGAAACTGTTTCCTGAGATTGAGTACATTGTCTACGATGTACAGAGCCTGGGCGAGCCAGGCAAGATCTCAAAGCACCGAGACAACGAATCCCAGGTCACAGCGGTGGTTTTGCTGTCAGATCCTCAAGCCTTTGAGGGGGGCATCAACTATTTTGAGGGCGACCGCTTTGTGAAACTGGGCCTTGGTGATGCTGTTTTCTTTTACGGTGATCGTTGTTATCATTGGATCACACCTGTAACCTCTGGTAGGCGAGTTGTCCTGCAAATGGAACTGAGCAGGGCCTTACCCTGTTGGTATTGCTGGTAGGCTGTCAGGTGCCAAAGATGCAACTGGCAGTTCATTCCAATAGCAGCCAATGATCATTCAGAAAAGCTTCAAATGGGATAGACTGCATCATCAAGGGGCCTCCACAAGAGATGTCCATGGTCCATACTCAAACTGCTGCTGCATTTGCAGGGCCATCCGCCGCGCACTTTGGACGAGTGCGCTTCCTGCAATAAAGGGGCCGCTTGGCCGCCTCGTCGAAAAACACAAAATCAACCTCGAGTTAGATCCATTCAAGGGGCAAGGCAAGGCTCTCTCCTTAGCTCAAGACCAAGGCCACTACGGACTGCTCCTTGGCAGTGATGAGTGTTGTAACAAACGCCATCTCGTTGGCCCCCCCGAGCACAACCCTTCGTTAGCACCTTGCCACTGGGCCCCCCGATCAGCAGCAAGTTGCTTGATGCTAAGTCTTGGGCCGCTACTTCGTAAACCCATTAGCAGCAACCTGCCTTCTACAAGTGACATAAGTGTTGAAGTGTCAGGAGATGTGCAATAGTCTCACCATGTCTCACTGTGCTTGAGGCATTCGAAGTGGACAGGGCATCTTGGTCGCAGCTCATGTGTGAGCACAGTAGGTCCATGTGATTTGGAACGACCATCTATCCAAGCAACATGTTGCGAGGACAATGCGCCAGCGCTTGAAGAATTGAATGGCGCTTCTAGTTTGCAAGATCGGGGACCGTTCGGCGATCGGGGACGCTTCCACGTCGTGAGAATCGCCGAACAAGGTGAACATTCACCGATAATTCTCGTCGTTCCACATTGACAATGCACGAGCAAAAGACATTCTTTGCAGCCTGACCTGACGCTGTCAACAAGGTTTGTCACAGCAGCTCACCTGATGAATTTGCCTTAAGAGCCGTCTTAATGTAGATTTCATTGTGGTGGCACGCCTCAGATTATCACCAGTGTTTCACAACAAATAGCACATAAATTCATGCATATACAGTTTGGCTGCTTTGCGAGGAAGAGGCCAAGGAGAAGGACGTGCCAATGCCTCCGATGTGGGAAAACCTTGATGGACTACCGTCCCATCCTGAGCAGCTGCACTCTGGGACAACTGCGGTTGCAGCAAGCAAATCGACTCACAATTGGAAGTGAACAGCGAAGGCTAAAATACATATAGTCTAACATCAACAAATAGCCCGCCGTCAACATCACAACATGTCCCCATGCAGCCATGTGCCCGTTGTAGGGAGGTGAAGGTGACATCCCCAGCAGTGGCCTACTTCTCCAAGGAGTCCACTCAGGGTGACTTGCGTCAGAGAGAGAGAGGGGGGAGAGAGGGAGGAAGCTTGATTGTCTAGAACCATTTGTCGGCTCTGGCCTGTTTGGCAGGACATTGCGTCCGGCGAGGATGGTGAAATGAGGCTTGGCAGCACCATAATGCAATATCAATGCACATATGCTGGATGAGAGCAGGCAGGTTGTAGTCAGAACGATATTGAAGCTCATCACCCTCACCGAATGCACGGTGGGCTTGCGTCAGCACACACAGAAACGAGGTTGCGGCCATGTCAGCCTGCATGTGTACAGATCATGTAGGTCGCCGCAGGCTCGTGATGCAAAGAACCTGCGGGAAACTACGGATGCGGTTGGATGTTTAAGGTATAAAATCATAGGCGGATGTAGGAGGAGCCGTGCTCAGGAAACCAACATTTGGGTGCAAGTGTGGCACGACTGACTGGCGACCAGCGAGCCCTGGAAGCACTGAAGTGACGACTGGTCAGTGGGCTGTGAGCCACAGAGAGGTTCGATCGATGGATTGAAAGTGCGTCAGCCAAGGATGTCACATCCAAGCATTACTTTCAGGCAAGAATTTATCGACCTACATCCAGAGCCTCGGTGGAACAAGTTCGGAAGTGGTCCATGCTAGAACTTTAACATCATAGCGAGTAGGGATAAGCACTAGAAAGGGAAGGGCGATGTCGTTGAGTTGGTGTTGCCACAGTGGCGCGAGAGATGGTGGTGTCACCTTGGATGTTCTGTATGCTGGCAGGATTTCCTTGGCAGAGTGCAGAAACTGAAAGTTGATTTGGCAGCTGGGCGTTGCAAGACGCGGTGTTCGCTTGCCACACTCGTAGCCAAAGCACTCGGGCCAGCCAAGGTAAACGACAGCACCAAGAAAACCCAGTGGGCCGCTGGCTAAAGGGAGTGGAAGGAACTCATGCAAGGGTGATCAATCTTGCAGATCCTTTCTCGGTTTGGGTGAGTTAACCCGATTTTGCATGCGTTTGACACCTGTTGCCTCGATCATCCTTGATCCAAGAATGCGACCTATGACTTGCTGCGGTTTCTAAAGCCTGGGGATGTGTTTCTTAGCTGCAAAGGATTTTGCGAAGATCTATATTCAGACTGTTGGAACTATCACTGATCCTCCTTTCTTTATCAGTTCGACAATCTGACGTGTAGTCTATCAGGCTGACTTAGACTTAGACTTGAAGATGTACACTCTCAGCTTCCGTCACGATTCCAACGAGCGTTTGCAAGTGGAAACCGGGCAGAGAATGAACATATCCAGATTTGAGAATTGTGGCGCCGAGAACGACATACAATCAGAGTATAATTATGCAAGAGTATGTTTGATTATACACTGGTCCAAGGCCAACCCTGACAGAGACAACACCAGCCATTCCCGGAGGCGGGACACAGCTCCCCGGCAGCTTCAGCACCTTTTGACCGCGAGCAGAGCGTCGATCGGACACGCTGAGGTTGCGTTTCTTAACATTCTGCCCGGAGGCACGTACCTGCGGAAGTTTATAGCAAGATCAGTCAGCAAGTCTTGCAAATTGCTTTTTCGGATGACACTTGATGACACCTTTCACACTTGCTTTTTGGAGCGTTTTGCCAGGCAGCACAAACATACACTATGAAAGTTACAGCTTTGGACTCCAACGATGAGCCCATTGACTATTTTGAGGACATATATATGTTATGCTTCTGCAAAAGATTGGTCACCATCAGGCTTCGTAGGAGCGTGGTGCCATGGACCATGGACTTGCATCACAGGATGATGAGATGAAACTTAGTGGCACTCCTGGAGCTCCACCACCTCCAGAGGAGGACTTGATGAATGATATTGCACCTGTCAAGTCCCTTGGTTTTGGCCTTTTGGGACTTCGTCATTGGTCCTTTTGCAGTGCATAAGCCTTGAGATATCTTGAGATGCCCGAGACGGGCTGTCGGCTGAGGCAAGCTGAAAAAATCGCGGAGGAGGCCGTCGTGAAAGAACACGGCATGGACACCGGCGGAGTGAAGATTCAGCCACAGCCGAAAGCAGGTGTGACAGAGGAATGATAACACAGAGATGTACAATGATGTACACTGTAACTTGGCTGCTACTTGTATGTTCGCTGTGGCCCCTCACTGACCACTGAGACGTGAGTTCTGAATGGGTAACGCAGTTGCTGTGCGTATGTAAGGTAGCAGAAAGATGATGGAATCTTCGCACTGCTTGTGCAGCAGAAGAAGGAAGACCTGCGAAGACCAATGGAACCAAGCCAAAAAAAGGGTTTGCAACGAAATCATACAGAATCAATGACATGCACACAACCAGCTCCTGATATTTTTGGACTTACCATAGCTACCAGTACATCTTCAAGTGACCACGCAGGTGGACTTTGTGAGTGTGGCTGATGGCTCGCGTCGGTAGGGCTTCTTTGGCCAATGTGCCACAGCTCACTTTGATCCAGTTTCATCGCTGCCAATTTAATGCTGTACATACAGAGGCAGCATCCCAAGGGCCTTGGAACTCCTATGGTCCTTTTTGCTTGGACCGCACTACCAACATGCTAGCTGCTAGCTCTGCAAATTCTGCAGAGTTCAGGAGTTTGGTCAAATGTGTGTGTGTCATTCATGGTTCAGTTGAACTGCACACCTTGCCTGCATCGTTTTCCCATCGCGAGTTCCACAAGTCACGAGCATGCAGAATCGTCCAGGATCCAAATCTTTGCAAGAGCCAAAGCAGGTGCTCCTTGCATTGTTGGTTGGGATGTGCAAGAATACTACGTACAAATATGCTACTAGGAACAAGTGCCTTACTAGTAGTAGCAAGTGCCTTACTAGTAGTAACAAGAAGCTATTAGAATTAAGCTTCTTGCACCAATGCAGCTCCGCAGCTCCAGGCTTCACTGTGGAAGAGTTTTTGCTGGGAATACTGCCTGGCAGCACGCCTCACGCTGAGTCTGACCGGGTTGACATGATCGACACGGTCGTCTAATGAGCCAAGATGAGCCAAGGTCGTCTTGTGGGAGGCCGATCCAAGTACGAGCCCAAGTTCTGGAACTGCAAAATGCAGAAGATAAGTCCAAGCTAACAGATTTGTCACAACTACTAGGTTACGGTTCCCCAAACCGCCTGGGGACGTCTGGTTTTGCGATGCGTTTCAAGAATTGGGAAGGTTTCACCTTGCCCGAGGAGCGACGCCAGACAAACTGAAAGACTCGGCACTTGAGCGCTGGATTGACAGAGTCAACATTCATCTTTGATTTCTTATAGGAATTGCTCCACACAAAATCTTTCATAGTTCTCCACTCCCTGGAATTGCAGCAGCTGCAAGTTTGTCAGGCGTTTCACATCGCAGGTCACCGTCAGGCGTTCCACTCTGCATGCCAGCATCAGGCATATCGCAACTCATAGCTCTAGAGCGACTCTCTACCGCTGTTACCGTGGAAAGCGAGAGAACAACGTGACACGTGAAGAAGTGAATCGATGACGTGACAAACGTTGAGCAAAAACTAACAGCGCCGAAGTCAACACCGGAAGGCCGATGCCTTTCAAGCACTCGGCCCAAACTAGACGCCAACAACGAAACAAACCCTGGGAAAAATCAGCTAAAAGCGAATATTGTAACACCCACAGGTCTTTCATCTAAAGAACATGACAACACAAAAGCACTCACATCGTCCAATTCCCGGGTCGACAATTCGATCAAAGAGGCTAACACACCAGGATCCACTAAAAAGAACGGCTGTAAAGGAGTGGGGAAGTCCAAGCGAGCTAAACTTCGATCACACTCGAAGGCCAACCGCAACAGCACCACACTAATTACACAGACCTAAAACTGCATCCGAATCCATGAAGCCAAAACTTGCAGGAAACTGAAAATGAAACCACGAACGACACCCGTGTCGTTTCTGCTCTAATCTGACACCAACGCAACCAACTTTCGAACGACTTACCCCACCCAAATCTTGTGTTTGTCTCCCTGCGGGTAAACCAAGGGGGGGAGAAAAAAGAACACTGCAAACTCCAGCAAGAAATAATGCAAAACGCTATAAAACACACAGGGGGCCTACCACTTGCAAGTACTGGCTGGTTTGGTGAATTGGCCTATGGTTCACGACAATGGGCTCCCGAGATACTCCGTGATAACAATAACACAATCCCCACTTAGAATATGAGGACCAGGGACCTGAAGGACTTGGTTTGAGTTGCTCTTTGGCCATGAACGACTCATTGACGGCTCAGTATCTGAGGGAGAAAGCTCCATCTCAGAAATTCATCAATTTTCCGAGGGACACGAAGTCGTAGACTTGCACCCTATGGAAACGACAGAGTCCAGCCGCCCAGAGAGGGACTTCACAGGCGTTGCCGATCACGGCGATGATGTGGAGAATGATATGCCGAAGCTTGAGGAGAAAGAAGTTGAACAGCAAGCAGCAAATCAGGAGCCTCCACCACCAAGGCGTGTGATGCTTTTGGTCATGCTTTGCATGTTTCAAGGCTATGCGTCAATGGTGGGCCCACTTCAATCAGCTTACAAGCATGAGCTCGGAATTACACACGGGACAGACGCAGCTCATGCTTTCACGCAAGCAGCTGTGGGCGTTCACTATGGGAAGCTTGTGGCACGACTGGGGCACAATGTGTTTTTTTGCGTGTCTCAGCCCATGGACACGTGTCATCATTGCAATGTGCTTCATGCTCATTGGAGTTCTCATTCCTCCAGTGTTGGTTTTCTCCGCAGGCTGGCATTGGGTTGGCACCGTCTTCATTGCGTACATGCTCTCTGGCTTGGGCTTGGGCATTTTTGAGGTGACGTTTCTCAGCGTCATTACGCCACTCGGCAAGGCGACCAAGTCATGGGCCATTATCGGATGTCCTGCTGGCTTTGCCACCATCAACATTCTAGGCACGGTGGAGTATTGTCGACATGGTTGATGTATGTTGATGAAGTTGTACTGACGCCAACCTGCTTCCGTTGTGGTTAAGGCGCAAAGTCAAAGTTGTAGGCATAGCCAGGGCACCACCAAGTGCAACCAAAAGACGAGGAAGTCGAACAGCCCAATCGCGGCCTCGTAACTTGACCATTACCATCAAACCAAGTTCGCAAGCAGCAATCTGTAACTTAGCTCGGACATCAGCCGACCTGTGAGCATCAAAAGTAATCCAACCACTTTTGGCAGTAATGCGGGGCTGGGCAGCCCACCAAGCAGGGGAAATGTTGAAGAACGTTGCAACTCCAGTCTACCATCACCCAAAGCAGGGCATTCAACGCAAAAATGTATCATAGTCATAGATGCATCTTGAAATTTGCAAAAAGGGCAGCGAGAATTGTTGGCAGGCATTCGACCCTGATGGGTAGGTGAGCTAGCAGCACCACCTCGAAAAATAGCCAACAAAAGCTGTTGCTGCGAATCGAGGTTGCCACGCCAAGTGGTCCATTTTTAATGAGAAGAGGCATCAAGGTCAACCGAGTGAACACCCTCAGCATCAAACCTGGTACGGCGCACAGTCAACATGGCTTGATAGCGGGCAGCCACATGCAAAACATGTGGACCATCTGGGTCATGGACGCGGAAAACCCAACCTGCATTCACACGGCGAAGGCAAGGCTGAGGATAGGGTGCAGGTCAATACGGTCCACCCAGAATCAACCAGAGCACTGCACTGCGTATAGTTCAGAGCACCACGGAAGGCCGTGACGACCTCAACAGGAGGACAAGTCAAGAGTGGCAAAGCCCACATCCACTTGCTTTTGTAGAAGATCCTCATAGCTGCTTCACGAACAGCCGCCACCAGGGAGGCGAGCAAGCATAGGAAGTCTGACCCAGTTGCAGCTTGCATATTTCTTGCATGTCTTGTAGGGTGGGGATCAGCACATGGTTATGCTGCACCTTTCGTGACCAAACATTCCAAAAAAGGAAAAAAAGCACATTTCACCTAGTCACCCAAGCTGGCCAGGACTCACCTTGAGCTCATTTGGGCTTCCCATCGTGTCCCTGTACTGGTACATTGCTGCTTGTTTGCCAATGGGACTGGCCATCTTCCTGATGTACGCCCCCAGAGGCCAGACGGAGCTCAAGACCGCCAATTTTGGGGTCTCCTTGCGACAAGCGTCCCAGTGGATGCCGGGAATGGTACCTTTCTTTGCAGCTCAGTTCCTAAGCCACTTTGCCATGGAAAACTGGCCGGCCATTTTCTACATGTTCCATCCTCCTATGGTGCCACTCTTCAACCCCAAGAGTGACGAACATCTCATGAAATGGGGGCAGTTCTTTGCGATTACTTACATCTTCATCTTTTTGGGTGATTCGATCAGTCGACGCATTGCAATCTACCTCTCTACACCCAGCTTAAAGAAGAGGTTGCTTTATTTGGGAATGGCGATGGTTCTCATCGCTTTGGGCCTCTACCTCGAGTCCTTGGCGATTGCGATCATCATCCCTTTGGCCATTTTCATGATCTTCTGGGGCAATGGTACCATCTATGGTCTCACTGCGAATCATGTAGACAAACAAGTGCCAAGTGAGCACAATTTGGCCTCCTACTCCTGTTGGTGCTTCATTGGGGACTTGGGGGCCATTCTTGGAGGCATTTTGGTGGAAAATACGCACGATTTGTTTTGTAGAGGCCATGAAGGCCCATTCGAATGTTGAGGTCGTTCGTTGGAAGGCAATCAAGAGAATTGCTACAAAAGGCAGCCAAGAGGGCTGCAGAAATTCGGCTAGGTATCCTTGTGGCAAACACTGTTTGCAATTTCGTGCTTTGCACTCCCATACTGCATGCGATTGGGCAAATCAGTACCAATGTAAAGGTACAGAGTCACTCCTTAAAATGCGCAGCACCTCTACAGTTGTGCTTGGAGAATTCCAGAGAAGTCGGTAGTCTTGCCCAACCAGAGACGACTTGTTGCCACCTGCAGAATGCAGAAGCATCTGGTCGATGGTCCGGAGGAATAAAAAGCAAAGACGAGCACGTTGTTACTTTTGCAAAAAACATTACAAAGCAATGGCCTCCAACCTATGAGGGGTCATGATAGACATGGTGTCACACGCAAGCCACACGGTCGTGTGAACCACTTGGCTCACAGGTGAGCCAACCAGCGGACTGCGCTTGCAGCCCATTTGATGCGACCGCTGGGTGGAAAACCAAGTGCCAGCGACCTTTGTTTGGGAAGTCCCGCGTTTTGTCGTCGATTTAGGGTCCCACCCTGAGATAGAAATGCGTGCACACAGTTTCATAGTGTTGAGCTCGCAAACATATTTACCGTATATAAAATATATAAAGTATGTGTTCAAGTTTGTTTGTATGTTCCGCATTTTTCTTGGGCGTAGCGTATGCCTCCAGCATGCAGCCATTTTGTGATGCCAAGAAGTGTGTGGCAGTGAGCGAACATTCTTCTCATCATAAAGAGTGGAGGGGTTGAAGCAAACTATACATTGACGGTGGGAGCTTAACACAGTTGCTTGCTCGGTTTTTGATCATTTGCTGATGCGCAAATATATATATATATATATGCTGTTTCGTCCCCGTAAGTAAAGGAGTTTTCCCCCCCAAAACGGTGTCTTCCCGCAGCTCCGGCTCATTTTGATGTGGGGACACCCTGCACTTTGCCGGTGCGGGGTGTGCACTACCCTGCGGAGGGTGTGCCATCACATCCGGGATTTCAGTCCGAAGCCCGGATACGTCCCCTTTGCAGCTGACAGGTTGCGCGTGTTGGCTGGGGAGCTTTGCGATTGGGGAGATTCCTACTTCGCGGCGGGGGCGGCACCTCCCACCGTGAGTGGTCCTCCTCGGGTGGAACCCGCAAGGGAGGGAGAAGAGATCGACAAGAAGGCGGAGGTCAAGAACGAAGAGGACAACAGCAAGGCTTCAGCTGCAAAGAAAGAGGTAAGCAAGGCACATCAAGGCACCAAAGAGAGAGAAAGAAAAGACCCATCGATCACATCGAGAATCTGGACGCCGTAAAGAGAAAGGTGAACGTCCAGAGCTGCCCAAGAAGGAGACCAGTGAGGACAGTGCATTCAACTCGGAGGAGGTCGCGCTCCGCACCACAGCACCCAAAGCCGCTTGTGGGTTGAAGTCCGCGCCCAAGGAACCAGTTGAGGAGGAAGAGATTGAGGAGACCGAGAAAGAAGACAGTGAAGCACCAGTGCCAGAGGGGGAGAGAGCAGAGGAGGACGTAAGGGAGAGAGAGGAGGACCTCTCTCCTCGTTCACCCAGTGCCCGAGACAAGAAGCGATCCCGGAGAACCCGATCGAGGTCAAGGAGAAGAAGAAGAAGGGACGAGGAGAGTGAGCGGAGACAGCGAGAAGACAGTCGAGAAGAAGCCCGAGAGGAGTTGGACCAGGGCCGAGAAGGCCATTCGTCATCTGCTCACCCGGAAGCTCACCCTCGACCCTCACGGAGACCTAGCCGATCGATCCAAAGGAAGCCCAGAAGCCCAGACTATCCACCACCTTCAAAAGGCAGAGGTCGTGGAAGAGGTTGGAAAGGATACCCACCGGCCGATCGTGGACCTCGACCTGATTGGACTAACAAAGGCGTGAAGAAGGTGGGCCGACAGCTCGAGTTCAAGGAGTACCTGGCCTACAAGAAGCGTTGGTGAACTGGGGTTGGATGGCCCCGAAGAGAAGGCCTGCAGCAGCTCTACCAAGAGGACGAGAGGGCAGGAGAGATCAGGAGAGTGAGAGCCAGACCTGCTGCTGAACACGTGGAAGCTCCTGCAAGAGTGGAACTTGCTACGGGAGCATGGATAGACTCCGGAGGAGTCTCGGTGACCGACCTGGTGCCAGGCAAGAAGCTCAGCGTGGACGCCCTTTACTGGGACAGGCCAATCGAAGCAGCCGTGGAACTGGTTGGCGTGGCACTCAAAGCAGGGCAGATGGAGGTGTCGTTCAGGGTCAGCGGAACTCCGGACGAGCAGCTACTCAAGTGGCTAACGGCCGAGGAAGATCGCGTGCTTCGAGGACACCTTTGCGGCGCCGATTGCAACAACAGTCCACAGAGCGAGGATCTGATCCACGTCAAGCGGTTGAGGTTGCTGGAAGTAGACACCCCGGGTTGGGCCCGCAACTTGAAGGAGGCGGCCGAAGCCGAAGTGTTGCGCAAGTTGGCAGCCGAATCAGATCGGAAAGCCAGAGAAGCAAAGGGCGAAGGGGTTGGCGCTCCTGCGGAAGAGGCCGCGAAGGGAGCAGAGACTTCAGGCAGTACGAGCTCATCGGACTCCAGCAAAGAGAAGAAAAAGAAAAAGAAAAAGAAGAAGAGAGGAAAGAAAAAGAAGAAAAAGGCCAAGTCGTGGAAGGTAGAGGGCAAGAAGGAGCTGAAGCAGCTGTTCCAGTTCACCGGCTTGGACCCCGACGCCAGCATTCGGGACAAAGGACGAGTCCGAGGAGTCCACAGTCCACAGGCAGCAGCAGCGGCGACAGCCGGTCAGTGAGCATGGTCGACGAGCTCTTCGAGGACTCCCACAAGATTCGGAGAGCAGCAGTGCGAGGCCCCGGGGCCTTATCGTGTCAGACCATACAGAACATGTCGAAGTACCTGTTGACGTCGCAAGGGCTACCAGTTGCCCCTCGAGAAGGAGCTCTACCTGCAATATGCCTCCAATACCACAGGCAAGTGTTGGCAGGTGGCCTCTCCCCTCCTCTAGCAAGGGAGAGTTTGAACATTTGTTCAGCGGCAGACGCCATCCTCGAAGGACAAGCAGCATTGGGGTTGGACATTCTGCTTCAACGACTCAAGTCGGTGGAAGCGCTGGGAGGAGGCACCTCCTGGGCTTCGGCCCAAAAACTAGAGTTGACTCCTGCGGAATCCTCCCAACTCGTCGACCTCGAGGAGAGCCGGTCTGCAAACAGGGAGTTGAGGGAAGAGTTGAAGAACAAGCAAGCCAGCCAGCGCATTTGGTCAGGAGGGAAGAGCGACAGCAAAGGCTCAGGCAAAGCAAAGGCCGAGGAGACCAAGGGCAAGGGCAAGAAAGATAAAGGAGGAAAGGACAAGAGGGATCGAGAACGGGAGAAGGACAAGTGACCTCTCCTCTCGTGGCACTGACAGATGATGACATTGTGGCCGAACTTCAACGCATTGACCATGAGGTCAACGATGGGACAAAAGGTGCAAGCAGCAAGATGCCAGAGCTACACCTGGGTGAGGCGAACTATGATCACTCAGAAGCGGCCATTTTGGCCGGTACAGTGCATGACGAGCGTGCCGGCTCGGATTGCAAAACGTCACATACCGAGCTCGTTGAGCCCGCGAAAAAGGATTTGAAGGGTTTGCAGTTTGCAGATGTCGTTGGGGGGCTGGTGGGCGAGTTGTCGACCTTCCTTCGCAAGACCTCGACCCCGGGGGAGATTTTTCCTCTTCCGGTCGACTCCGTCATCGACCAGCCTTTTTTAGCTCATTTACCTCAGGGTGTTAGGACTGTGCTTCGTGCAGTGGTCTTTGGGGGGGAATGACGTCTATGACTGTAGACCCTTCGAGAACAAAGAGTTTCACCGTTGCATGTCCGGGTTTTCGTTCTTTTGGGTCACCCTTTGGAGAGCTTTCATGGAAAGAGTTTCTCAAGGTGCGAAGCATTGACTACAAGGGGGGAAGAAGTGAAGACCGCCCAACAGACATCGTGGGCAAATCTCGCACCAGCACTCCCTCCAGAAGTAGGTACTGTTGATCTTGAACAAGTTGTCGATTCAGGGTGCCTTCACTATGTACAACATTTTGAAGAATATCTACTCCCAAAAAGAGGCACAAGTATACACCAGACCACCGAAGGTCATGGTAGCAGAGGACCAGTGGGAGGCTCTGTGTGAGGGCCTCCTGTCCTGGGGGATCTGCGGTGTGATCCCTGAAAGTGAGGTCCACAAGGTTGACAACAAACCACTACTCAACGGCCTATTTGGAGTCTTGAAAGAAGAAACTCATCAAGGTCACGAGGTACACAGACTCATCATGAATTTAGTGCCATTGAACAAACTCTGTCGACCCATCACAGGCGACGTATCGACTTTACCGAGCTGGCCCAACATGAACGCCTTCCAGTTTCAGGCCGATGAAACGCTACTCGTAAGCAGTGAAGATGTGCGCTGTTTCTTTTACCTGTGCCGGGTACCAAAGAGCTGGACTCCCTACCTTGCGTTTGCTAGACGGGTTCCTCCGAAACTTTGTGGTGGACGCACTGAAGTTTGCTACCTCACGTCTTTGGTATTACCCATGGTTTTTGCAACAGTGTATCACTCGCACAGCACATACACCGGGTAGTAGTGGGAAGAGCGCTTGAGGAGGCCAGGAATTTAGGATTGAGGGGAGGTTGGGAATCGGAGTTGCGTAAAGACCGACCCCTCCCAATCAGTAACCCGGTGCACAGGGTCTATCTTGACAATTTTGACATGCTGGAGCGAGTCAATAGCAGTATGGCGAAAGTTGTGCGGGGAAGTGTTGCTCCTCTGGCCGATCCCCAGGCACCCCAAGAAAGCTGTGGAGCTCCAACCTCAAGCAGAGGTGCAAGGAGCACTGGTTGATGGCCAGGAGGGGAGTTCGAGGCCGCGAGCCGAAAAGATTGTGAAGTACGTGCAACTGAGCCTACTCCTTTTGGCGGGCGAGCGGTGCACACAGAAGCAAATTCAGATAGTGGCAGGTGGCCTTGTCTACATGGCTATGTTCAGGCGCCCACTCCTTGGCACACTCAATGCCATATGGGAGTTTGTGACTAGTTTCGAACAAGGTCCGCGGATACAGACAATACCATGGAAGGTGCGCAGCGAGATAGCTCGTTTCTGCCTGCTCACGCCACTTGCACGGATGGACTTTCGCACGGTGTTCTCCGGAGTGGTTACCGCAAGTGACGCATCATCAACGGGAGGCGGAATCACAGCGACAGCCAGCAAGGGTCTTACCTCCTTGGGATGCATGGCGGCAAATCAAACAGTCAGGGGTGATGTTGTGGAGCCGTCGGAGGTTACAAGTGTCTTGACAATTGGGTTGTTTGACGGCATGGGGGCCCTTAGGGTAGCAGCAGATGCGGTAGGTGTTCCGGTTGCAGGCCACATTAGTGTGGAGAAGCACGGCCCTGCACGACGGGTGGTTGAGAGTCGTTTCGCCTCAACGTTGTTCGTGGACGATGTCGAGAAGGTGGACACAGAGATGGTG